CGGCCTAACAAAGGGTGACTGTGAGACAAGGGCATGCAGCCTGCCGAGACCTGCCAGGGGCTGCCAGGGGCTGCTGGGGTCAGGGAAGAGAGCTCTCCCCGGGGAGGGAGGGAGCCGGGCACTGGGCCAGCCAGGATGGTGAGCCATGGCGGGGCTGGGAGGGCCCGTCTGCCTCTCATTTCACAGGCTCCATAGGTGGCCATGGAGCCGCACCACTATTAGCTGGGATTGAAGAGGGAGGGACAGTGGGTAGGAGGAATGCCCTGAACTGAAGTCGGCTGGTGGGACCCACAACCTTGCTCTGTAGCAGGGAGGTGGCGGCAGTGGGCAAGGCTCTTGGGGCCAGATGGCAGAAGGCCAGGAATAGCCTGAGGACGGCCGAGCTTTAACCCTTGTCTGAGAAGCCCAGTGGGACCACAGGAGGCGGGGAGGTGACAGGGCCCAGGGTCTGACCAGGCCCAGTGATGACTGTGGCAGGGTCCTGCAGGCCAAGGACTCCTCGCAATGACATGACGTGGGGCGTTGAGACCTATCGTTGCCCATTTCTAACTCTATGCAAAGACTTCTGGGAAAGAGGTTTCAGAAGGCCGAGGCTCTCCTGCCTGCCCACTGGTAGGCATAAAGAGGAGGTACACAGGTGTCAAGAGGGGTCACTTGCCGGCTGTGGACCTGGGAAGGTTCAGTTGAGCATCAGGAGGTGGGACTTTGGTGGAGGACGCTGAGGGCAGGAGGCCCAAGACACTGGGCATAGTCCCGCCCAGCTCTCAACCCCCCAGGGTGGTGCTCATCCCCAAGGTCAGCTCTGGAAGCCCCTCTCATGGCCCAGTCCTCTGCGCCTGAAATCGTCACTGGTCAGGACCAAACCGCCCCGCCCCCTGGCATTCGCAGCCTCCTGAGCCCACCTCTGCCCCCACCCCTCCTGGTGGTCCCTGAGGGCCCCCTGCTTCCTCATCTCTTGGAGAGGGCGCCACCCCACCCTTCCTCTGAGGAGGGGTCTCACTGTGACCCCCATCAGCTGCAAACCCAGAGGCGCTGTTCCTTCTGGGTTTCTGTGCAGCTGTTTCCTGGGGAAGGCCACCAGTGGGGCCCACGGGGCAGGATCCAGCTGTGAACCTCAGAGCCAGGTGGCCCCAGCGTCACTTCCCCTGCCCAGGGCTTGTTTTCTTTAATCAAAGTACTTGGAATTCTTTCCTTAAAGTATTTTAAAAATGTTTTAAAAATTGATTTCCTTTTTGTTTGCTTATTTTTTTTTTAGTTTTTTTTTTTAATTTGTTTTGCTTAGTTACACATGACAGACAGTACAATGATCTTGACATATCATACATTTGAGGGTTTTTTTTTAATAAAATAATTTAAACTGAACACATGATATAAGGTAGAAAATAGGGTATTGTCACTTGTGTTCCCTGATGAAAGTCCGGGTTAAACCAGGCGTAGGCACGGGGCTTGCCTGTAGGCCCAGCGACTCAGGAGGCTGAGGCAGGAGGGTGGCAAGTTTGAGGCCAGCTACGGCATCTTAGCAAGAGCCTGCCTCCCTCAAAATAAAAATTAGAGAAGGGCTGTGGCTTAGCTCAGTGGTAGAGCATTTCATGCAGGAAGCCCTGGATTCCCTCCCCAGCGCTATATAAAAAAGAAAGGAAAAAGTCTTGAGTCTAATCTTCCAGGTTTTTCCTCTATGCATTTTTTTCTTCTCCCTTTCTTCCCTGTTTTTCTTTTTTTAGGTTGTAGCTGGGAAATTACATTTTGAAACTTTAATATCCCAACAGTAGTGGAAAATCTCCAGGTCATATACAAATAATTAAAGCAAATACTTTATTTTTTTTTTATTTAAAAAATGTATTTATTTTATTTTAAAATGTTGTAGAACTGGTGCAGGTGGTGCATGCCTGTCATCCCTGCAGCTCAGGAGGCTGAGGCAGGAGGATTGAAAGTTTGAGGCCAGCCTCAGCCACTAAGCAAGACCCTGTCTCAAAATAATCCTTTCCTATTCCCCAAAACCCCTGGCAACCACCATTCTTCTTTCTGATCCCATGAGTTTGACTACTTTGGGAACTTCATAGAAGTGGAATCATCTTTTTTGTGATAGACTGATTTTATTTAGCCTGCTATCTTCAAGGTTCATCCATGTTAAAGTTGCCTGGCACATAAAGGAATCTTGCTTGTAGAGAATATGAAAAAAAACTTGGGGGAGCCTTTTTTGGGGGTGGGTACTGAGGATTGAACTCAGGGGCACTCGACCGCTGAGCCACATCCCCAGCCCTATTTTGTATTTTTATTTAGAGACTGGGTCTCACTGAGTTGATTAGCGCCCTGCCATTGCTGAGGTGGCTTTGAACTTGAGATCCTCCTGCCTTAGCCTCCCAAGCTGCTGGGATCACAGGTGTGGGCCACTACATGGGGCTTGGGGGAGCCTTTTAATAAGAAGTGAAAGTCTCACCTTCAACCAGGGGTCACAGGCCCACACTCTCCCTCACCGCTTTGCTTCACCAGCTCTCAGATGCTCTTGCTTTGGTAGTGAGACAACACTATTTTAATTTTGCAAAGGTAAAAAAAAAAAAAAAATCTGGGAATGGATTTGACACGTAGCTGAATGTTTAGAGCAGTTTGGATGCAGCTGGGATGAGATGGCAGATGCGGGTTTAGTCTGTTTCTAAGGCTTGGCATGTCCAGGGCCTTCTACCCCACGAGCCGCCAAGAACCATCTGGCTGCCGTTCCCTTGCCGACCCTACCAGAGTCACCACCTCTGCCCCGGCCCTGGCTCTGCCACCGTCCCAGCCAGTCCCTGCTGGCACTAGAAAACCTTCCCGTGTGAATTTTGGGACCGCGTTGGTTGGATTCCTTGAAATGGATTTCTAAAAGCGGAAGAGCACTGTGGAAGTTTTGATTTGCATAATCAACTTGCATTGCCAAAGGCTGTGCCAATGCGAGTGGCCGTCGGGGCTTCCAGAGCACCCCCCAAATCCTCCTATACAGACTGACTCCCAGCATCTGCCCTCCCACAGATGAGGAAACTAAGGCTTCAAAAGTGAGGACTTGCTTGCCGTCACAGGTGGCAGAGCTGGGGCTAGACCCAGGCTGCGGGGGTTGCTGAGGTGCCATCACCTAAGGTGTTCTCGTCCTCCTGTTTACTCACTCTCCTTTTTTTTTTTTTTAGCTGTAAATGGTCACATGCCTTCATTTTATTTATTTTGGTGTGGTGCTAAGGATCGAACCCAGGGCCTCGCACGTGCTAGGCGAGTGCTCTACCACTGAGCCCCAGCCCCAGCCCTACACTCTGTCTTACTCAAACACCTTCCGAGGCCCCTAGTACCTACAAGACAAATCCCAACTTCAGTCCACCCTGCCGGTTAAGGCTGCTGCTTCCAAGGTCTCCGTGGCTGAAGGTGTGCGTTTCGAGCTGGTAGCCTTGGGCTCCAGTCCCTTCCTACACGACTGAGCACTAGGTGCCAGTCAGTCACCCTGCGAGCCTCTGGGTAAACACATGGCTTTCTAACAGGAACTTCAGCAGACTCTTGAACAAGCCAGCCTCACATTGGTCCCCTGAGTTTAAGGATTCCCACACGGTTGGAGTCTGCTGCTCTGCCCCGGTCTTTTATCAGTACTGTCAGCACCCATCTGTCCCAGTGTCCCCCACCCAGCTCATCTGGCGGAGCTACCCAGCACCCCTGTTGGTGCAGGCTGATTTCTAATTTACCCCACCACTTTGGGGTCCCCGGAGGGAGTTTCAATCTCAGAGGAACTTACAGGTCCCCTCCCAACAGGGGAGCCGTCCCCAGGTTCTGGGCAGGGTCTGAGCAAGGGCTGGATCCCAGCGCCCCCGCATGCTCCCTGCCTGGCCTGGCCCTTGTGCTGCCAGTGCTGTGTGGGGTATTGTACAGAGCGCCTCATTCCTTGGGTCTCAGTTTTTCCCGGG